AATTTGTCACAGTTTGCCAAAAGATATAAAAAAAAGACAAAAAGAGGTTTTAACATTTTTTTGCAATTTAAAAAAAGAAAGAAATTTTGATAATGGCTTTATTGTGAATTCCCCCCCAAAATAGCGCTGGAAATTATCATAATGTTGACCAAAAGAAAGAATGTAGCTAATAAAATCATAAATGTGTCACAAAATGTTTGACAATATTTGGGGAAAAATTTATAGAGATTTTGAGTTGAAATTCCATAAAGTTCTACGAGAAATTTCCCTTAGTGTTGCAGCAACATGTTGCTGGCTTGTTTATCACATTATTTAAAAGAAAATTAAAAGTCACATATCTTTTAAAAGCCAAATTGATTAAAAAACTGAAAATATTTAAAGAAAATCATAAAAGTTCGGTTTTTAAATGTTTTAATTTATGTTTCTGAACATTTTTAAAATGTTGCCGCAACATGGTGCAATATTTTTTTAAATGAAATTTTCCCTCAAATGAAACAAGAAAAGTATTCAACAATTCCTTGAAATACATACACTTCATTTTATTTCAATTTATCCCATTTAAATATACCTTGAAATGACATTATTGTTGCAGCAACATGTTGCTGTAATAGCAACTTAACACCGCTTGCAAAAAATTCAAGATTTCCTGTGGCCAAGTGACTCAAAATATTTTACAAACAAATATGGGCAAATTCTTTTTCTAACTCTTATTTAAATATTGCCGAAATCAAAAACCAAAATGTTGCCGCAATATAATGTTGCTGTAATATAATTTTCAGCTTTCCTTCACAACAACTTTCAATTTATTCATTTACTTTTTTCTTCTATCTTCTCATGAAGAACATCTCCTTTCAAAATTGAATCCCAAATATCCATAAAACTTCCCATAATGTTGCCGCAACATGTTGCGGTATTATTTATTAAAGATTTTCCTCCAGAACCATTTTCAATTGTAATTTTTCTGCCTTTATCTCTCGTCATGAATAAAATTTCCTCTCAAAACTGCATTACAAATATTTCTGAAATCTTTCCCATAATGTTGCCGCAACATGTTTCCGTAGCATTAATTTAAGTCTTTCCTCCAGAACCACAATTTTCAATTACATTTTTCTCTGCCTCTATCTCTTCATGGAATTTCCTGTTTCCTGTATTTCATTTTTTTTCTTCTTTCTTAATTTCATGCAATTTGTTCTGGACTCTCTGGGCCGGGTTGTTTTGATTTTTTTCCTTTTTCTTCTTTATTTTCCTTAAATATTTTTCTATGCCAACAACAACAACGCCAATGTTCACAAAACTTCAAATGCAAAAAATTAGCATAACAACTTTATAGTTTAACTGCTTTTAGACAATCTTGCTTAAAGACTTTTGCCGGGGTTTTGTGCTGCAGCGCAAACATTAGTTGTGATAGGTTGTAGGCAAAAAAAAAAAACCTTTTTGGAGTATTTAAGTCATGGCAATTCGGGGGAGAAAGGGAGTGAGAGAGAGTGGCGAGGGAGGTTTGGAGAGGTTATACATCTAAATATATGTAAGAAGAAGCAGAGAGGAACAACCAGGAAAAAAAAAACAGACAAACAGCAGGCAGGCTGGCACAGCCAAATGACAAATATCTGAGCCGCGACTTTAACCCACAAAACTTGAACAATAAACAACTTGCAGCCGCCGTCATAGTAGCAACAGCAACAACAACAACAATGACGACAATATTGACAAAAAACCGTACCCGTCCGTAGTGGATTTTTTTTTTGGTTTTTGTTAACTGCACATGGCAGTTAATGTTGTTGTTTTCATTGCTGGCTTGGTCTTCTGCTAGAGCAGCGTGTATCTGGCTGGCTGACAGGCTGGAGGTTTTTTCAGCCTCTGAAAATGCATGTATGTGAAATGAAGTCTTTTGCTAATCTTGTGTATGTATCTGGAGGACAATTTTTTTTGTTTTTTGGTTGCTCGGTGTGCCATTTCATTTCATTCTTGGCCTGCCTGCCACTTTGCCGGTTGTTGTAGTTTCAAGCTGGTTTTATATATGCGGCAGCGGATATTGAGAAAGGTTTTGCTGCTGCCGTTTTTGCTGGCCTTCTTTCTGATGAATCAAACAATAGCAGTAAAAATGGGATTTTTCCCCCGCTTTTGGCATAACAAAACCTTAACTCTTTTTCCTTCGTATTTTTGTTGTTGTCATTTTGAGCGAGATTAATATGTGAATGCGGGGATTGTCTCGTTTTCCAGAGACACACATACATACAGTAATATTGCAGGTGGTTTGAATGTCAAATGCAGATAATAGCGGGATGCCAAGCAAAAATGTTTTTTTCATGAAATTCTCCCCCCTCTGAACAAAATATGAGTTATCCCCCTGTACCTTTTTTCCGGGCAGCCACAACAAAACAGATTTTAATCATTAACACTTGTTTTTTCAAGGGCTCTTCTCTTTTTTCTGCTCCAAAATACAAAAAAAAAAAAAAAAAAAAACGGCTACGAGGGGGGATTTCAGTTGTTGACATTTTACATCAATGTGTCAATTGCTGCTTAAGACATACAAACACAAACAAGCAAAGGTACCACCAGCAGATCTCTGGCAAATGATAATGGCCAAAACGCCCAAACAACGTCACATTACTCATTCAAAGCCCGAGACGAGAGACGGGAATCAATACAACCGGTGATGAATCTCTAAATGCCAGGCAATCCTGTGTGAGATTTCGTGTTGAATGACAACGCCTTTTGACAAAATACTCAAAAACACAACAATCTTAGTATTTAACGGCAACAACTACAACAATAAACTTGTATATGCAGTGTGAACTCTCAAGTTGAAAAGTTTTGTATTTTATAAAATGATAAAAATCTTAACAATCATCAATGTACGCTCGCTCGTTCGTTCGCTCGTCTTTTTTTTTTGCGCTTATTCTTTTCTTTCTTTGCAAGAGTACTACAACTTGCAATGCCAGCAATACCAACAACAACAAGAAGAGTACATATATTGTTGTATTTCGCATGGGAAGGTAGTCAGCTAGCTAGCTGATGGACTCTGACTTGGCGGCTATAGACGTGGTTAACATTGTCAAGTTAAAAAGTTTTTAATTTCTCGGTGTTGTTGTTACTTTTCTGTGCAGTTCTACTAAACGTTGCCTTAATAAAGTGGCGTCAAAGAAGTGTTGGGGTTTTTGTTGTTTTTGGCAGGCAGCAACAACAACACCGCCACGAACAACAAGCCATTATCCATCTACGTAGTTTTTAAAACCGTTTAAAAAACCTTTTTCTATATATTTATATATGGATAGATAGATATATTCGTCAGTTCGCTCGTTCGTCAGTCAGTCAGTTTGTCTGTTTATAAACAAAACAAATCATTTTGTACATTTCGTATGCAAAAAACGTTAAGACGCTTGAAGTTAAGGCTGTTATTACAAGGTCAAGCTTATTAGTGTTGTGTTGTTGCTGCAGCAGCAAAGCCAGCAATTGACATGGTGTTGGTGGTGTAGGAGACAAACTAAATGTATGTACGTTGATGGGACAACGATTGTAGCGATATGCCAATGGCTCTGGTTGTTGTTTCTGTTTTTTTTTTTTTGATGGTGATGATGATTTTTGTTCATGATAAGTATTAATTTTTTTCTTTTTGGTTTCGTCGTTCATTTTTTGTTTTCTGTGTGTGATAAATACACGTTTTCTGTGTGCCCATAGTTGTTGGTATTTTGTTTGTTTCGGCTGTTATGGGTGACAAGAATTCCATTTTGATTTGGTGTGTGGGAATATTTTTCGTTTCTGGCATTTTGTTTTTCAAAACACACACACATAGTTTTACATACTTTCGCAGCAGGGGAAAGCCCAGGTTTTTTCCTCTTGAGAAAAAAAAACTTCAAGTGGAAAGATCAGGATGTTGCAAAGCTGAAAAATCTAATATTTGTAGGCAAAAACTATAACCATTCTTTAGAAAATTGAAAAAATATGCGTTAACGATTTATTAATTTCAAAAGAAGTCATAAGCAACATGTTGCTAAATCCCATTTGATTTGATAAAAAATCCAGCATATGTATTCCAAAGGACTTAATTTAAAATGCAATTGTGTTTATATTGAATTTTTAATACTATCCACTTCGTTTTTCCACATATTCTACCAATAAAGTATTTGTAACATGTTGCTAACCTCAAAATAATGTAACATTTCCATTAGCAACATGTTGCTAAAATCTCATTTTGTTATTATTTTTAAAAGAATATTATTGTAATTTATATATGCTAAAATCTCATATTGTCAAAATTTTCATTAGAATATATTTGTAATGTATATAAATTTTAAAAATAAGATCTCTGCAACATGTTGCCAAAAGTTGATTCTTCGGAAATTGAATTACGATTTCAATTACGATTATGTATTCTTTTTTATGTCTTCATTTCTGTAAATTTCTCAAACAATTTTGTCATGTTTTCAAAACATAAACACCTGCAACATGTTGCTTGACTTTAGCTTAAGAATTAATTCATAAAAATTAATTTCATATATATTTTAAAATTGATATTTTGTTTAACCTATATTTTGTTAAGAATTTTAAGAGGATATTCTTGAAGATTTTATAAATTTCAAAAATAATATCCCTGCAACATGTTGCCAATGTAGGGCTATAAAAAATTGAATACAATTTGATGCTTTTAAAATTTAAGCTTAGCATTTCTGATCGCAAAGAGTTCTAACGTAATTTTCAAATAAACAAATGTTGACAACGTTTCCGCAACATGTTAAGATCCCTGCAACATGTCGCCAAAGTAGAGCTTTAGGAAATTGAATGAAATGGGATGCTTTTAAAATTTAAGCCTATTATTTCTGATCGTACAGAATTCTAACGCAATTCTCAATGTTCTCAATGTTTCCGCAACATGTTGCTGCAACTTTCATACAATAATTTTCCTAGAAGAACTTTCAAATAAATTCAATTTTTTTAATTTTTGCCTTTTAAAAAATGTAATAATTATTTTTATTTTATTTTTTTTTTTTTTTAATTTCCAGTATGACGATGGCCTGCACGGCTATGGTATGGATTCGGGTGCTGCAGCAGCTGCCATGTATGATCCACATGTTGGTCATCGGCCGCCTGGATTACAAGGCCTACCATCACATCACTCACCACACATGACACATGCTGCTGCAGCAGCGGCCACAGTTGGCATGCATGGCTACCATACAGCTGGTGCGGCTGGTGGCCATGGTACACCTAGTCATGTATCACCGGTTGCTAATCATTTAATGGGTGCAATACCCGAAGTACATAAACGTGATAAGGATGCTATATATGAGTAAGTAGAAACAATTTTTAATAAATAAAAAAAAATATATATATATATATATATTTGAATAATTATTTAAAACAAGAGAGAACAGTAAAAAATTAGAGAGAGAGGGAGAGTCACTAATAAAATTAAAATCTATTATTAATTTAAAAAATAAGTCTAAAACAAAAATTGCAGAAATTTCACGCTCGTGTGACTTTGTGTTAGATACATTTTGTCACTCTCTCTCTCCCTCTCTCTGCCCTAGAATGAGCACAACACCTTATTTCCTGTGTGTGGTTCTTCTTTGCCTTATTTAATTAAGGTATTTGTGAGCCTTGTAGGCGTTTTTGTTGATCTTTTATAATTTTCAAAAATTTTGTGCAGAACACGCGCCTCGAAAATTAATACCCTGGCCAAATTAGGGGTTACCCTTAAACGTTGCCATTGGAGAAATTATAATAGAAATTTATTGGCCGAAAAACACGAAAAGAAGGAGAGGTGCTAATTTTGTGGTGTAGGGCATTTCAATGCCTTTCAAACACCACCCCAAGTCCTCTTTCTTTGTACGTGTGTGTTTGCACACATCAATCATAATTCTGACTTGCTTGCTTGTCGTCTTCTATCCTTCTCCACCAGTTTTTTGTATAGGAATTCCCAAGGAGCTAGTAATTAATCTGTTATTATAAGAAAATAAACACCAGTGTATTGGAAAATGAAAAGAATTGAAAAAAATCCATTTCACCCCCTTTTTTCCATGTCCATGTTGTGGTTGTTGTCTGTATGCATTCATTTAACAAAATATGATTATTATTTGTATATTAATTTAAACCACTTGGCAAACATCTTAAAGAGTGTTAACAACTTGTCAGTTATTATTGACATACAATGACATATTTGTCATTTTTTTTTTGTTGAAATGAAATCCCAAAGACCGGGAGATCGATGGGCATACAATTGATGGCTAACATGATCACCACAAAAAATAGGGGAGGGAATGAGGAAACAAATGAATTACAATTATTTTTGATTTCAATGGGAATAATTCTCATTTACTCAGGTTATGGCTAAACTCCAGAATTCTCCTGGCAATTATGTAATTTCCTCTCTTCCCTTTCTCACCCTTTGTTTTAGTTATTATCAATTAACACTTTTGATCATTAAAAACTGCACTGCGAAAAAACCAAACCTAAGCAAGGCATTTGCAGTCTTTTTTTTTTGCCTCTGCTGACTGCCTCTGCTTTATTGTCCCAATCATAAAACTTAATTATTACGGAAGAATTCAAACAACCTGTGAGATAACAAAATAACTTACAACATTTAACAGAAGTCACTGTATAAGCATTTAAGTTTGTTGATTTTTTTTCTGTTTTTGCTTGAGTGGCTGGCTGGCTCACTGGATGGATGGCTTGCTGGCTGACTGACTGAGTGGCCTGCTTCATAACATGCTCTTTTTCATTATTAAGAACTTAACACCTTTTTTGTGGAGTTTATTTTTCTTTTTTTTTCGCTACCAGCCGGGCAATATTTACCTTTAAGTTGCAGTCTCCTGGGTAAAAAAGGTAAATATCACACTTCAAATAAGTTGTGGTGGCTTAGTGCATTAGGCCAAACCTAGAACCATGGAGAGGGGGAGAGAGAGAAAGGAAAAATATAATTACCCATAAAAGGTCCCTAACAAAGTGACAAGTGTAGGGTAGAAATAAACTACAAACTGACAGTCATTTCATTACGAAAAAGAGAGGGAGAGGGAGACACTTCAACAACCCACCAAAAAATGGTTGGTAGTAGTAATTTTAACATTTAAATGATTAACATAAAATGATATTAGAAGTAAAATGAAAGAAATAAAAACTCCTAAAGGGAAACACTAAAAGACCATTTGAAATACTAATTGAAAAATTATAGAGGGCAGACATTTCTTTTTAGGGGTAACAAAAAACGACACTCAACTCAATTCAGGTGCAATTTGTAGAACTTTGCTAAGACGGCCACCAAAAAAAAAAACCGGAAAGTGAGCAAACATAAATGGTCAGTTTTGCTGGCAGATGTTTTAGTTTTTTTTCCTGCTACGTTTCTTTTTTTTTTTTTGGTCATGAATACATGAATTATAATAACACACTGCCGCAAATTTGCATATGTCTAGTTGCAAGGAAAGTTGAGAACAAAAATCATTTATCATTTCTGATACAAAAAAAAGAAAAAAAATACAAAACCGCACAAAAAAATTCTAATAAAACAAAACAATTTGTCATTTTCAATTGTTAGTTCGACACACACACACACACACAAACTAATATAAATCCTGTAAGATTTGCTTGGCATGTGAAGCCCCCTCTTAAATGTGATGGCAGCACCATCATCACAGCTACAATAACAACAAACCGAAAAACCTATCAACAAATATGTCCAAACTGTCAACAATGACATTGCAAATGTTGAAAAAACAGCAAAAATCCCAAGATGAGCAGAACCAATCTCTTTGGCTCTCTCACTCTCTGTCTCTCTCTCCCGCCAGAGATGACATTTTAAGAGCAAAAAATTGCTCGATTTTGTTGTATATTATTTTGGAAAGCCAAACAATGAAATTTTGACAGTTAAAAAGATGGTAATAAATTATCAATGAAACCCCAACAACAATGGCAAAGGAAGCAACAACCATAGATTGCCGGCCAGTCAGCCAGACACATTATAGAAGAGAACAGCCATGAAGAAGACACCAGAGAAAGAGAGTGTCTGTTTATGCCAATGTTTACATACGGTAGTCTTTTATAAAATACCAGCAACAACAACAACAACGAGAACCACAACAATATGAGCAAAGATTTATTACACTTTCGTGCATTTAAAACAGGCCTCCTTGTCAAAACACTTTTACACATTTGCTGGTTGTTGCTGCTGCTGCCGGTTTTTTTGTTGCTGGCAGCCAGCTACTACTGCTGTCATGTTGCTGGTCGGCTCTGGCAGAGAGAGAGGGAAAGAGTGAAGGTTTGTTGTTTGATATTGACTTTTAAGAGAAAACCAGAGCAATACAAACTTGTTGATTTACAATTTTAATTTATGAACCGGCAAATATGTATGTATGGCAGGAAACTTAAAAAAAAATAATAGATTTTTCTTATTTTTGGCGGGAACAAAAAGGCACAATTTTCAAGTTTATTATTTGGTTTTCCAAATATGGCCTGCTGTATTTTCCCGGGTTTTCCTGCTCCATCGTTAAGTTATTTTCTCATTCTAATTTATGGCATTTATTACCTTCAGAGATACACCGCCAAAAAATATCCCGTTGTGTTGCAAGCGCCAGCCGCCAACAAACATCATTTCCCTTTTCCATTTTGATTCAATAAAAAAAACAACAACAACAAAACTCACTAGGCCTAGTCATAATTAGCCATACCATCCATGATTTTTTTGTTTTGGTTTACTTCTTTTTCTGCTGCTACACCGTGCAGTAAGTGTAAGGTTGATCGAATTCTAGAACAAGAAAAACAAACAAAAATCATCTAAAATTGGCATTTTAGAAATGCATAGCATTTCCTTTAACTTATGCTCTAATTAAAATACCAAATGTTAAATGCACTTCACACACACACATACATGAGTGTGCCACAAGTGTAATGGGTAAGTATGTGGTATTTAATGAGTGCCATAGATACAGATACTGTGGCGGCCTACCATTCAAGCGATGATAGCCCCCCAAATAAAAAAGACACTTTCCGCAACACAAAAATTCATTCCCTGACACCACCCTTTCAGCGTTATAATTACCTCCCCCTCCACAAATACCCTTGGACCACTTCTCGCTAGCCACATGATGATGATAAACCAGCTGCTTTTGCTTCCACCGCCAGCCAGCCAACGATGAAGATGATGTTGTGAATGACGACGGCGGTTTCTTGTCGCCATTAGTGTAAACAAATTTAAGGCAATACAAGAAAAGTGTGCTGCTCTCACTACATTTTCATGCGATCGACAAACCGAATTTTTTGCTGTTCTTTCGTTTTTCTTGAAAATCAAAAATATTTGATTTGTATTTTGATTTTCAGTTTTTGTTTTTTTTTTGTTATAATTTAATTTGTTTATTTTCTATTTCACTATATCTCTCTTTTCCCTTTTGCAGACATCCCCTATTCCCGCTGTTGGCTCTAATATTTGAAAAATGTGAATTGGCCACATGTACGCCCAGAGAACCTGGTGTGCAAGGTGGTGATGTATGTTCGTCAGAATCGTTTAATGAAGATATTGCAATGTTTAGTAAACAGGTAAGTGTGGCAATTAAAATTAATAATAGATAATGTTTTTTAAAGGAACAATTAATTTTTTGATAAATATTAGAAAACCAAAATAACTAAATTTGGCATAAGAATTGAAAAAAGTTCAGGCAATGTGTTAAAGCAACATTGCAAAAAAAAAATTCCCAGGAAGAAGTTAATTTATTGAATATATGTTAAGGCAACATGTTGCAGCAACATATTAAAAAGTTTCAACTCAAATAGTGAAAATAGTATAAAAAATAAACGAAATGCTTTAAATGACACAAGTAGTTGTGAAAATAAGTCGATATTGCCAAGAATTAGTTAATATATAGCATATATGCTATATCAACATGTTGCAGCAACAAATTTGTGTGTGTGTGTGTTTTTTTTTTAATTTCAAACTAAAATTTATTTTTATATAAAGTAGATATTATATTTATGAATGAAATGAAGTCTGACGATTGTCAAATGTCAAAAAAAAAAAAATATTTAGCGTGTATGGAAAAAAAATTAGAGAAAAGTCTTCTGCAACATGTTGCTGATAACGATTTTCAATTTATTTTTTTTCTTTTTATTTTTTTCCTGGTTATTTTTAGTTTTTGTTTAAGTAGTAACTACTGTAAAATTTCATTTGTGTAAATTAATTTAAAAAGAAAATGGTAAAAAGTCCTTATTTATATATTGTTTCTGTAACATGTTGCCGATTAAAATTTGATAGCCTTATTCAGTTTTTGTCCCTAAGATCATGAATATTTTCTATAAGGGCTTGAAAGGTATTTTCTATAAGGGCTTGAAATATTCTATTTTGAAATTTTATCAAAAATAATAGAAAAAAATTTCTTGTCAACATGTTGCTGCAACAAATTTATGTTGCATTTCCATTTAACTGCTAAAATTAAGGGGAATTTTCTTTCCTTCGTTGTTTCAATGCTTCTTTGAGACCCTGAAATTATTCTAAATCGATCTACTGCGATTTCAAACATTTCGAAAATATCACCCCGCAACATGTTGCTACAACAAAATGTTGCAATATATCCAATTTCCCCATTCGAAATCCAATTTCCATATTGTCTACCCTAACTTTAGATTTACAAAAATGTGTCTTTTCATTTCATAGTTTTTTTTTTTCTTTTTGAAATCCAAATGATGAGGGCATGAAACACAGCAAAGTGAATCACTTAAGTTGATTTTGTAGAATTTGTTGTTGTTGTACCAGTTTCCTTTTGGCATATGTATGTGACTGCAGTGTGTATGCGTGTGTGTGTACACACTCTATGCTTTAAATATCTTACAATAATGATGATCTTTATTTTCTGGCACTTCATTAATCATCGCTACAAAACAGCCAAAACGACGACGTCATTTAAAGTTTTTTTTTTTCTGCTGTTTTTTGGTTTTTCATTTTCTTCTTTACTATTCTTTGTATTTAATGTTTTGGCTGGGCTATTTCTTTGTGTGGAATCGACAATCGTATTAACATTCACTCTCAGAAAAAAAAAACGAAAAACAAGAACAAAAATTATGAAGCCACAAACAACATTACGGAATTCAACATTGGATCGGGGAACATCGTTACACCCCACCCCACCACCATCACCGCCGCCTCTACTTTGCCTTGGATCATGATCATTACCCCAGCACCCTCATCGTTTGTAAGATTAACCCATTAAGTTCGGTCACAATGGCCAAATGGTTTTGATTTTGCGCCAAGTGGTGTTAATAATAATTGAGGCTGAAAAATTCTTAACACTCTTGGCAATGTGTTTGTTGTTGCTGCTCTTTGTTTGCTTTCTTTGTTAGGGCATTTTGGGGGAAGAAAGGGAATGCCAGCAACAAATCTCTTCTTAGCGGCTAATGTATGGCATTATAAATACAATGTGTCTCATGAAGAAAAAAAAAACGAATCTTTATGACTGACTGACTGACTGTTTCATATTCTGCTCCTTAGATGATGCACTAAACATGCATATGATGAGCATCATTCACGACAATGTTCCATTTGACAACGACGAAGAAGATGTTGCCCGTCTTGATGGGGATACGGACGATGGGGATGATGATGACGATGATTTTAATCTCTTGATTTCTCTCATGAATTTTAAAAATATCATTTTAAAATAAAGCATTTTTTTAGCTGCATCATTAGTAAAGCTAACACCACTCGGCTAAGGCAGAAGACAGACTGGCTGACTGACTGCCGGGCTGGCAGGCTGGCAGACCAACAATCTTTTTAAAATACATTCAAAACATTAGACGACATCGTAAAAGCATTGGCAGTATTTTCTGTTGATTTCCAACAACAATGCCCAGAGATTTGTATATTTTTATAAACGAATTTGTATTCACCACAAAATCGACAGCTTTTTGAGAAGCAAACAAAATTTTTTGGTTTTTAAAAATAGCAAGAAACAACATTTTTTGATTTTATTTTTAAAATCCTAGAGTGAGTGATAGAGAGAGAGAGAGAGGGAGAGAGGAGAATGTTGCTTTCCCAAAAAATTGGCAATTAATTTATTAGATTTTTCATTTGGGCCGCATGGAAATTTGTTGGCAGAAGTTGATAAATTTCATAAACTGTCACAATTTTCAATGATGCCGAAATAAAATCATCAGTTTCCTTTTTGGCTTGCTGGGACGAAGGGAGGAGAATTGAAGGAAAGGGACATCTCTATGCTAAATGCAAACAAAACATTATAATGTTTTTAAAAACAGATGAAATTTATGTGGCAAAAAAATATCCACTAAAAAAAGCCTTGCCAAGTGTTTTTATGGCCATGCCAAGAAAAAAAGGAGGAAAATTAAAAAAAAAAATAACGCCAAAAGAAATTAAAAGTAACCAAAGTACAAGTGGAGAAATCCAACAACATTTAATGTCTGCTGGCTGATGCCTGTTTATGTTGTGGCCTGTGGCCCTCAATGTTGATGATGAGGTGCCTGAAATGATGGTTTATTTAATGCATTTTTTCGCGCGAGCCCATACATCTTGGCAGCTTCTTCGAAACTCTTTGGGAGTGAGTACTCGCTACAAAATATTTCAAAATTTTTCCAAAAACAAAAAAAAAAAAGAATGCAACTTTAATAGGCAGACAGTGCAGTTAGCCAGTCACTTTGGCATTGGCAACCTCATAAAAATCATGATCATCATCTGTTTAATGCACATCAAGCCAATTTTGGGACACCCTGTTTGTTTACACTTAGTCTTGGGATGCATACATGTCTGGTGAGTGAGGAATATGGTCGTGGAATGCAGTTTAATATTTCCCAAAATAATATCATAAATTATTTAAATGACAAGATCATAACCATATTTTTCACCCTCCACATCTCTCTCTTCATACGACACCCACTTCCCCCTGAAAAAAATTGTTTCTTCTTATTATTGTTATTATTTTTTGGACACAATCAAATATAATTAGAAGAAGAGCTGCAACAACAATTCTTGTATTTTAAAACATATTTAATACATCTGGTTTGGCAGTTAAATTAGGAAACCCTCCACTTGAATATCAAGCCCGCTTCTTGTTGTTTTTGCATTTGCTTAATTTGTCTGGTTGTCTGACTGTCTGTGTGTGTCTCTCTGTGTCTTAAGTCTCGTTTATTAATGTAGCCTGTAGTCTCTGGTTCTTGCTGATCGTTTAACACAGTTTTTAAAGAAATTATAAAAAAAACAGATGAAGACGCAGAAAAAAATCTTCTCGCGCCAAGTGCTAAACATATGGTTATGTCATAAAAATAACAAGCCAAGCCAGTTAGGCCAGGCGCATGGGGACAAATGGACGGACCCTCACAGATGAGGGGTTGAGTAAAAAAATTAGGAAAAAAAATACAACAGATAATCTTTACAGTAATTTGAGATTTTTAACTGGGGTACTTCTTCTGAAAAATTAGTTCTTGGGAAATTAAAATAAAAACATATTGCAATAATAAAAAAATAAATATTACTGAAAACAAGGAGATCAGAAATTCAAGTGGCAATGGTATTAAATATTTTGGGAAATTAAATTATTGGAAATTATGTTTATCAAAATTTATCGATTGGTAAAGATTTGGATAGATTTTCGGGGTCGAAATTAAAATTGTATATCAATGAAGTTCAAGAAGATAAGTTTTTTTTAACTCTTTTAAAAAAATTTTAAGTCACTACTTTTTGTAATTAATTAATAATTCTGATATAATCAATTCATACATATCTGAGGTTCAAGAATTGATTTTTAAACAATTTTGCAATCGTTATTTTTCCAATAAATCGTTAATTCCGAAAATTTCTCGTCGATAAATTTCGATAATTCAGATATAGAAAATAACTTCCATTTAAAATATGCCCTAAAAATATAGGTCAAAATCAAGGCATTTATTTTTGCTCTGAAATGCTCTAAAGAATTTCCTTGTTCTTTTTTTTCAATAAAACGAAATTTATCGATTGTTTTTGTTTTTTTTTTTAATTTTCCTAAATCACATTGTGAATTATAAGGCAATAATTTTGCTTTGTAGTTTTATTTTATTTTTTTTTTCTCCCTCAAATTAACAATCAATCTTTGTTCTTTATTTCTCAATGTTGCAACAATTTTAAATTGTATTTTCTCATTAACATTCCTTTTGTTGATTTGTTTTGTTTTTGATTTGATTTTTTCGGCTTCAAGCAAAGAAAAGAACAACCCAAAATTTAGTATTTTCAAAATGTTATAAGGTCGTGTAGAACATTTATATAAATTTCAACAGAAATTGAGTTGAAAAAAATACAAAAAATTAAAAAAAAAACAAATGTGGATTTATTTCAGTTTTGCCTTTAAAGCAGGTACCATCATCATCAGGCAGGCATTCACACAAATCTTTATTTGTTGAAGGCATGGAAGGGAGAGGGGAGAGCAACACACAAATGATCATCACATTGTGATCGTTTCGTTTAATGCGTTGCGTTTCCACATTCCTCCTTTGGCCGAAAGGTTTTAATCTCTTTTGTGTTTAAGCAACAATTTCTTTGTCCGTTTCGGATTTGTGTCTTCTTC